TTCTTTACAGCTGACAAAATTTTTAGAGATTATTCATGTGTGATCGATATACTTTGACCATCAAACACTATCATGAAAATACTTAGAGGGTTTAAATTTAGAAGGCTGTTGGAAAACCTTCTTAAAACCATAAATTTTCTGCAAAAGCATTTTCTTTAGCTACTTTTTGGTGGACTACACAGTAATTTTTCATGTGATTAGTTTTAATTCACCTGAATATATATACCTTGGCAATACGAAGTGGATGAAAAACTTCTGTGAAATGTAACACAGTCTCATTGAAAACACGTGAATTTATTTTTAAAATATTTCTGGAGTTTTTTTCAAGGGGGGGAAAAAGCGCACTCCGTGTAACGATCGCTAGCCGTTTCGAATTATTTCATGAGCTGTCTGTTGAAAATGTTATTTCTGTTTTTATAGCATGGGACACGTGTACGCCGGTAAGGTTTCGATATTGTTATGAGCTCATTATTTCTTTACGTTTGATAAACGCCAGTCAATAAAAACTTGGAACGGGCGCTTTACCTGCTAAATCCCTGGAACTAAAACTAACTCTGTTGCGATAGTAGTTGCTTACTAAAAGGTAACATTCAACAGGAAACGCTAACATTTTTTGCTATTGCATACCCAAAAGATTCTGACAAAGATATTTTCTTATTTTATAAGTTGAAAGTCTGTTTTTAGACGTTAAATAACAAATCGAAAAGGCAAATCATATAAAACTATGTCTGAAATAAACAAGTTTTCCAATACTATTGAAGCGTCATTGGATTAAGCCCATACGGAAGATAAATGACAGCCAAATGTAGATGAGTGTTAGAAGTTATTTTTGGTGTCAGGTTCAAATTTAACGATAGAAGGAATAAAAACATAAAAGTATGTGATTAGTAGAAGGAAATAGAGTACTTGCAACTGTTTGTGTTCCAGAAGAGAAAGCTGGTATTAATCGAATCTTAGTCTAGTCAATTACTCGATCCAGACAACCATGAGTGAAGTCTCTGAAGTCTTTCGCATCTCCTACTCTTAGTGTGCTGCTGTCTGTCAGAAAAACTTCTCAAAACTCTTGACTGCTGCGAGAAAAACTGTTGAAAAGAGTTTTTATTTTGTTCATCTATAAGAATCAACCAGCACAACTTCGTATGACTAAGTCACCGTTAATGAGCGCGTGCCATATACCACCTGGTTTTGAAAACGTTTCGTCATTCTTTTGCATCTGCAAGAATGCGACTCGTTTTTTTACTCGAAATGAGAGCGAGATAAAAGACGTATCTGAGCGCGATCTCTATTTTGATCGTGAAACGTGCGTCTGGAGGGTTTTAGAAGACGAAAACTTTTCTTTTTTAATGCACCCATGTTTATTTTTTGTACCTCTCACATTTAATTAGTGAATACATAGATCCCTTTCATATTAACTATGAACGGCAGGCGATTGGTTATCCCTAAGTATTATCAATAGTCTCCCTTTTGGAGTTGTGAACTTCATGTGTCTTCTAGGGTTCTGATAAGAGAAACAATCTCAGCGAAATTTCCAAGTTATGTTTGGTAGGAAAAGAGCGAGTTACAGCAAAAGGCTGCGCAAAAATTCTGCAATAGAAGTGATTCATCATGTGGGGAACCACTTAGGTGCGATTTAGAATATAATTTTTTTCTTTATTTCAAAGGTATTTTTTCTATTAGACACGAAAGCGGCTAAAGGTGTTTCCTCTGATTCAAATGAAAAATTCATATAAACACGTTTGAATATATGAGATGCGCCTAAACGCATAAACAGACATCTTTCGTTTGTCGAATGATATAAAATGAGCATGTCTAGATGCGTTAAAGAGGATTTCTGGTCTCAAAAATGAGTCTAGATGCAACTACTGTTGAAAAAACAAGTAGGTACATCTAAACACGCTCTATTTTTAATCAGATCTTCTGTGCGCGCGTTTCAGCGCGTCCTAGAATCGAGAAGTGTTCAGAAACTTGTTTCGTTCAATTGGCGAAACAGGATGCGTCTGAATGCACCTTTTCTCGGGAAAGCGAAAAATGGTCGAAAGAAAATAGGTCGAACGAAAATTGGGCGCGGTGACTTGGTCCCCACGAAAAATGGCGGGTAGGAAATATAGTCGCTACGAAAATTAGTCGAGAAATTTTTTTGTAATAAAAGAAAAGCTTTTTTTTAAAGAAAAGAGTTTCATTGAGACGAATAAGTTAAACAGATGCAAGAAAAAAGAACAGACCGAAGTTACTTAGGAATCTGTTGATTACAAAAGAGCAGTTGATTGACAAAAGAGTGTTGATTCAAAGGAGCAGATATTTCTCTGATGTTAGCAAATTATTAGAGACTGTAATTTCTTTTAATATTAAAAGTATCAGATCAGCAGGTTGTTTCGGGATTATGTATGGAACTATTGCAGAAGAGTAGGCTACACTTTTCTTCCAAAATGACTACATTTACACTCAGTACAACTCAAAAGAGCAAACCTTTGTTACTATGTAAAGGCTTTACTTACACCATGAATAAAACAAGTGATGATAAAACTTATTGGAAATGTGAACATGTTCGAACTCTTAAGTGTAAAGGTCGAGCTCACACTAATTATATTAATACAATAATGTTATACGAAACTGATAATCACAATCATCCAGGAAGTGCTGTTTCCAGTGAAATTCGAATATTTGAAGAAAAAATTCGTCGTCGTGCTGTTCATTGTAATGAAACTACACAAACTATTATTGATAATTGTTTAATGAATTTATCAGACACAGCTGTAGCCTGACTTTAAACATATAAAACGAAATATTCAACATCATCGCGCAAAAAATGATTTACCGAAAATTCCACATGATAAAACATTTGATCAAATTCCTGATAAATTAGCAACAACGAAACGCAATAGTAAATTTCTACAATTTGATTCTGGACCTGGTAATGATCGCTTATTGATCTTTTCATCTGTTGATCAATTACAGGTACTGGACAATTGTGAAGAATTATTAGTCGATAGCACATTTAAGGTCAGTATTTTTTTTCTTCGTTTTTATATATAATCTTTTTAAACGGATTAAACCGTTCAGGTAACACCAACGATTTTCTATCAATTACATACTATGCATGTGGCTTATCGGAACGCTGTTATACCAGCTGTATTTGCATTATTACCGAATAAGAATCAGCAAACGTATCAACGTCTTATTAATGAATTAGCAGAACTTTGTCCACTATAGAATCCCAAATCTCTAATGATGGATTTTGAGAGAGCTGCCATTAATGCATTTGGAGGTAGTTTTACAACGACAACAAATCCTTCAACAATGTCGGGTTGCTTTTTCCATTTACAAAATAATATTCAACGTAAAGTTCAAGTGAGTAATTAAGTCTGATAGATAATTCAAATATTCACACTTCATTTCTTCTCTGTAGGAATTGGGTTTTAAAACAAATTATGAACAAGACCCTGTATTCGCACATAATGTCAGTAAAATTGCTGCTCTAGCATTTCTTCAACCAGCAGATGTTAGTCAAGGTTTTGACGATCTTCATAATTCATCACCACCAATGCTTCATTCACTACTTGATTACTTTGAAGACACTTATATAGGCAGACAACGGTCACAGGGACGGTCCCAACCTATGTTTTCAGTTGAATTCTGGAATATGCATCAACGAACAACTGATCTTTCCATGCGCACGAATAATTCAGCTGAACCTTGGCACCGTCGTCTTAACTCCATCATTCAATGCCAGCATCCTACCCTTTGGGCTTTCATTGAAAGTCTACAGAACGAAGAATATTTTATTCATTGTCAATTAATTAAACTTAATTCTGGTCAAAAAGTTGAACCAAGTAAAAAGTATTTAAATTATAGTAAACGTCTGCGTCATTTAATTACGCATCCACATCCAACCTTACTACAACAATTAGAAGGACTCGCTCATAATTTATAAACTGCTATACTTTTCTTTTGTATCTGTCTAACTTATTTGTCTCAATTATCAGTTTCGTATAACATCATTGTATTAATATAATTAGTGTGAATTTTACCTTTACACTTGGCAGTTCGAGCTTTTGTTTAAAAAACGTTTTTCTTCTTTTATTACGAATTTCTCAACTAATTTTCGTAGCGACTAAATTTCCTAGCGGCCATATTTCGTGGCGACCAATTCTCCGCGACCAATTTTCGCTCGACCTATTTTCTTTCGACCATTTTTCGTAGACCCACTTTTCTCTTATCCCGCTATAAAGCGTGGTCGGGCATGTCTTTTCCCAAAAATGAAAGAAAACGCATGTGTCATAAAATATTCCAGTAGATGTAGGATTTCTTAGTTCGGGGTAAAACAGAAACACTTTTCTTCTTGCTTCATTCAGAAGCTAT